AAAACCTACTCTTACCATATAAAAATGACTCAATGGGTTTTCACCAAATTTATAAGCTGTGCTTGAGATAGCTGAACTTAAATTATTGATGTTATGACATTAAAATTCACTTTGGATTATTCTGGGGTCACCTTTGAGAAATAGGTATTCATCCTCCTGGCTTGCTAAATTGTAGATCTAAATAAGAACTAAATCTTTGTAGAAGGTAATATAATTATGAAGAGTATACAAAGAGTCAATGTATACTCTTCATAATTATATTACCTTCTACAATCTCACTGGTAGAATTCCTCTATTATTCTTAAAACAGTTATTGCCTCTACTATTGTTTTCTTAAAAAAACCAAACAAACAAAAAACCAAGCACCTTACCCAATAGTCTTACTTCCACTCTCCCCCTCTCAATATTTTAAGTATATGAATAGTCACACAGAAATCATCACATTGTAAATATTAGCACAGTTGGAATTTCTTCTGAAGACTTCTGAAGTTTCTGAATCAATTTTTTTCCACAAGTAGGAACTGACATCTTTAAACTTGAATCTACAGTACTGCAATTTGGCATTCCACTTCAATTCTTTACAAGTTTCATTTATATTGATGATATTGTCTTGGAATTTCCTGTAGGCTGCCTCAGATAAAATAATTCCCAGCCGAATCTTCATCTTGTCTGCTCTCTACTTTGACATTATGCCTTCAAAATAAAATCTTACTTAATCCAAAACAAAAACACTTTATTACAGAATATTAAATCATTTTACCATGACTGATAAGCCAATGTTTAAACTCTGACTACTGATACTCAAAGCTTTGCAAACTTATTCCAGACTATTCATAATTGAACAAGATATTCTAACCGCCACACAGAGAAATCACTATCCAACCACTCTGTGTCTTAGACCAAGTCAATACTTTACTTTTTCATTTTTCAAATAAACTTACAGCCAAAATTACATTACGACTGATTGTAAAGGCCAAACATTTTACCTTCCTCTGTTTCATTCCCATCATCTCCCTGAGTTGGTGCCTGTGAAAATATGCTAAGCCCAAAATAGCAGTTGTGCACTGCCAATTCAGCCTCAGTCATTTCCAAGCCAAAGGGGAATTGACAGAAACCCCCTTTACAAGTCTAGTGTTTGTAAATATCCAATGAAATGACTTCATCCAGTCAATTATTTCTGGAGAAAGCTGGCAGAATAACATGGTAATTAAACTGAGGACTGGTGGAAACTGTTAAACAGGAGAGGTATTTTGCTGAGCAGTTCTAGTTAATGCTTTTAATGCATTTTCATTTTTTTTAAAGTGCTTGAGATACTAGGACAATTAAAAAGGAATTACCTCTTCATATAGATCAATGGAACAGAACAGAGAACCAAAAAATCAACTCAAGCCACTATGCTCAATTAATATTTGACAAAAGAGGCAAGAGCATACAATGGAGCAGAGATAGTTTCTTCAATAGATATAGTTGAGAAAATTGGATACGGGAAAAAAAAAAACACCAAAAAACTAGACCATCAACTTACACCATATACAAGAATAAACTCAAAATGGATAAAAGTCTTATATGTGAGATATGAAGCCATGAAAGTCCTAGAAGAAACCATAGGCACCATAATCTTAAACATCTCTCATAGCAATGTGTTTACCTATACCTCTTAGGACAATAGAAACTAAGGAAAAAATAAACAAATGGAACTACATGAAAATAAAATGCTTCTGCATGCCAAAGAAACTATTAACAAAATAACAAGAGAGCACACTACAAGGGAGAAGATATTTGCCAATGATCCACCTGATAAGGGGTTAATCTCGAAAATATATAGGGAACTCATACAGCTTAACAAAAGGAAGACAATCCAATTAAGAAATGGGCAAAGGACCTCCAATGTGAACATACAGAAAGCTAAGAGACAGGAAAAAAATGCTCAAAGTCACTAATCATCTGATAGATGCAGGTCAAAACAATGAGATATCAGAATGGCTCTCATCAACAAACAACAAGTGTTGGCAAGGTTGTAGAGAAAAGGGATCCCTAATGCACTGCTGGTGGGAATGCAGACTGGTGCAGCCATTATGGAAAACAGTATGGAGTTTCCTCAAAAAATAAAAAAATGGAACTCCCATTTAACCCAATGATCCCAATTCTAGGAATATACCTTAAGAAACCTGAAACATCAGAAAGAATATATGCACCCCTTATGTTCATAGCAGCATAATTTACAATAACTAAAATTTAGAAACAGCACATAGGCTGAGGTATACAATGGAATACTATGTGCCAATAAAAAAAGAAAGAACTCTTATCATTTGCAACAGCATGGATGGACCTGGAGAGTATTATGATGTGAAATAAGCCAATCAGAGAAAGATAAGTATCACATGATTTCACTCATACGTGGAATCTAATTAACCAAATAAATGGATGTACAAAAGCAGATACAGAAGCATGAACATACTGTTGAACCTCAGAGGGAAGGCAGGGGAGGATGGGTGAGAAGAGATCAGCGTACATATGAACTTATATGTATATATGCATAACCTGTAGACACAGAAAAATGAATAATTCTCATTTCTCTTTGTCAGAATACACAATATTTCACTTACAAAAGATTCCACTGGATGAGAAGGCATATCTTTTAAAAATGTAAAAACAGGTGTAAAGTTAAGAACTGTCAGTCATTCACACTCTGCTCGTATAAGTTATAGAACTTAATGGAATGTTTGCCAGAGGAATACTATAAAATCAGAATGGCAGGTTAAGACCGGTTTGGCTCAGTGAATAGAGCGTCGGCCTGCGGACTGAAAGATCCCAGGTTCGATTCTGGTCAAGGGCATGTATATTGGTTGCGGGCACATCCCCGGTAGGGGGTGTGCAAGGGGCAGCTGATCGATGATTCTCTCTCATCGATGTTTCTGACTCTCTGTCCTCTCTCTTCCTCTCTGTGAAAAATCAATAAAATATATTTTTAAAAAAATCTTAGATTCTAGAGATATGCTGCCTGAGTCTAAGTCCTAGCTGTATAACTAGCAAGCTAGGCAAGTTTGCACAACCAGAAAACTAACACCTGAGGCCTGTATCATATAAAGGGGTGACATCTAAATGTATATCACAAGTTGAAAAAAATGACCTTAAATGTGGCTTAAAGCAACTGAAATTTCCAGAGCCCAGGAAAACCAATCTGTAGTGAAAATGTCTCAACTCAAGGTACAGAGAACTCTCACAGAACAAAAAACTTCTTTGAGTTGAATTTCCCAACAAAATATTATAGTACACCATTTGAAGAAACCTGTTCCCCTTGAGAGCCAACAGACTTAGAGCCATGTAAACTACAAATTACAATTTTACACAAATGTTATCTTTTACTATAATCTTGCTCATGCCTTTGTTCTCATTGAGGGCTAACAAAACCTTTAAAAATACGGTAATATCCATGTCTAGTAAGATTACTGATAATTCTGGAAATTCACCCCTTGAGCTAAAGAAAGTTCATGTATAAATATAACATGGAGCACACAACATGATTCATTTTTATTAGATGAATTTGACGGCTGGAATCTATAAAGGGGCAGTCTGAACTAACTACCAAACTGCTACTGATCCCCATCTATTTGAAGCTAATCTGTATCTTACATTAACATATTTAGTTGACATTTAAAAAAATGGATTACTGTCTCCTCCAATCCTGTTGGGTGGCATTAAAAATCTTAAAATTTGGAGGAAATGAATCCACATTTAAAAAGAAGCGCTTGTGCACCTAGATTTCAGAAACCACTTTTAAATTTAAAAGCTCAACATTTATAAGGGACATTCATTTCTCTTCTGACCACCTATCTAAACCTGAAATACTTATTTCAACCCTTTTTCTTTGTGTGGTAGTTTCAATTTACTCCTTTATTTCAATTTGTCTAAAAATATTGACACATTAGTGTCGAAAGTCCCTTTGGCTTACATTTGACATCTTTAAAACGTTTGCCAAAATATTTTTTAATGCTAACTATAAGAGAAATATAAAAAGTGTAATAACTGGCCTTCTAATCACCCTATGTACTGTGTGTGTGTGTGTGTGTGTGTGTGTGTGTGTGTGTGTGTGTGTTTACAACGCTTGCATCTTTTAATCTTCGAAATGTTACTAAAAATGAAAATACGGGAGCCCGGAGAGGGTAAGTGTCCAAGGTGGAACCAGCTCAAAGAAAGCGGGACGTCCGGCTGGGGAAGCCTAAGGAATGGTTTGCCCATCCTTCGGGGCCGTTTTCCATTGGCCTGTCAAACCACAAAAACAGAGGAGACAATTTTTAACGGGGCAGATGTAGACATCTCTTAGGAGAAAGGTCGCAGAATAGCATTTTATATTCATAAAACATCAAGGACACAACCCAGTCAACAGAACTCGGAGACGCTACAAAGACCCGGTTAAATGTCTCTGCTTCCTTTCCGCTAACTAAATCCCAGTTCTGTGAAATGTACCTTCATAAATTAAACACCTAAGTCTGAACATTCACTCGAGTCAACCTGCAGGGCAATTTCAGCGCCGTTTAGACAGGAACCCGTAGGACAACCCACAGAGCACACACCTCGAGACCACTAGGTAGACGAAAGAGGACCCCTCTCCCCCGCCCCCAGGTAGTTTTGTCTGCCCTTACGCGCCACCGACTCGGGGCCGCTTCCTAACCGCCTGCTTATCTCCACCCTGATCCTCCTTGATATTTGTCCCCTTATCTGTTGAAGTTATTAATCCAAGGATGATAAGAGACGGGAGTGAGAAAAGAGTCGGCTTAGGGAAAAGGAATGTCTTCGTAGGCGAGATTTCCTTAGGCAGTTTGTCAGGCACTGCCTCGGGCAGCCTTAGACGGAAAGGGAAGGCCTTGGGTCCAAAGCGCGAAGCACCGATTGGTTGATCGACCGCTGCCGGGAAGAACCCGGATGTGCCTGAGTAGTCAGTGTTGGCACTCGGGGACTCTCAAGTTTGGGTATTCTAGGGGTGCTGGCCGCCCGGACGGATGGCGCAGGGCTGGGCTGGCTTCTCTGAGGAGGAACTGAGGCGACTAAAGCAGAGTAAAGGTAAGGGGACGTGCCCGCGAAGATTGAAATCTTGGGTCTGTTAGGAGAAGGGGCGGGGCTGCTGCTTTTGAGGGGAAGAGGGCGGGAAGAGGATAAAGTGTTTAGGTTGGGGGATGGATCTGTAAATGGGAAGACAGAATTGAGGGGCTCCGGAAGTGGATGCTCAGGGGCCTGGGGTCTCCTTTTAGAAAAGATCCATTACAGGATTTGGTTTGTTTTTTTTTTTTTCCTGGGAAAGGAATGGGCCTGGGAGAGGGGGCTGAACCTATAGTCTGGCGGGCTCACATAGGAAGGTTGTGGTGTAGGTCCAGGGTTGGATTGTAAAGGAAGGAGGAGGGTCACTCACCATTTTAGAATTGTGCTGAATGTATAGCAGTAGGTAATGACTGAGCAAAGGGGAACACTGGGGCCGGGGGGGGGGGGGGGGGAGTGGCTCTTAATGCAAAATGTCGGTGCTTTTCATAATACATCTGGAATCTTGCATTCACTTCTGGTTGCCAGATGATTTTTGCAGTTCTTTCCAACCCAGAGAGTCAGCAAACTAAAAAAAAAGGGGGGGGGGTGGTCTTAGAGAGGTTAGATGTGATATAAATAAATACACACACACAACACATATACATACACACATCTGTGACATAATCCAGAATTTTGTCTTTCCCTCTCTGGCTTTATAGAGTAATCACTGAATGGATTTGTACTATTCTGTTACCTTTTAATAAAGGAATTAAGTTTGTTTAATAAAGGAATTAAGTTTGGTGAGAACTCTTATTGATATAAATGAGGCTTTGTTGGTGGCTGAAATTTCATGAAATTCTGTTTGGTGATCTCAGTAATGCACACAACTTCTGTGAGTTTATACTACTCTTGGTATACAACTTACACTCTGTACTTTGGGGGAAAATGAAATCCCTGTCATGCCTTTTATTAGAGTTGTTTTTTGTTTTTTTTTAGAAAATTGCATGTTGCATAGATAGGCCTCTGCATTTTTAGTATAGATTGAAGGATCTATACTAAATCAGAAAAGGAAGTAAATTGATAACATAGGGCCAGTGAAGATTACATAGATTGAGGAAAATTTGGTCCAAAGGGTTTCAAAACTATATCATAAAAGTCATACTACAGTGTTTAACTGATTCTATTTTGCTTGATGTTATCTCTTGCTCTGTGTTTTCAACATCCATTCACTTATTCAGATGTATGGTGTGCAAGTACATCTGCTTCCTGTCTGACCTGAAGTTAAAGACATCAGCTTCTGCATTTAGGATGCTGAGATGAACATGGCCTCATCCCTGCCTTCAAAGGGTTTCTAGTCCACTGAGGAGACAAACTATAAAAAATGTAATAGTAGATGTTGTTCAAGAACTTGCTACCTATGAGCAGGAACCTCACCCTGTTGGGGGTTGGGCTCACTTTGGGAAGATATCACAGAAATTCAATGTTAGGAGAGGTGAGTTTGCTGAGGGAAAAAGGCTTCGTGTAGAAGTCTAAATTAAATAACAGATTTATATGTCAAAGACCATTTTTAAATAGCTCTGCAATTTGGGATAGAGTGGGTGGACCTTAATTTCAAAGCCTATCATTTCATAGCCAGATGTTAGAACACAGATACCAACTGACTGGTCTATGATCCTTAAAGAAGAGAAAAGATGCATCTCTGCATACTTATAGCATCTCTGTATACTCATAACCAAACACAGTGATTGTCATATCTTCCAGATCTGCATATAAATCTTTTTACTTTGGATTTCTCATTTGTAAATCTAGAAGAGCTGGATCTTTACTTTTGAAGGTTTCTTCCAAAATATTCTCCAGCCATAAAAATATAATTAAATAATCTATGAAAATGAAGTTGGCTACCAGCAAAAATAAGGATAACAACTCTAGAAAAAAAACCATTTGTGCAGTGGTGGAGATCGAGAATGTTCTCAACACTCTTCATTATAATATTGAAAATCTGGGAATAAACCTTGTTCATTAACAAGGAAGTGGATAAATAAATCGTGGTATAATCATTCAGTGGACTACTATATAGCTAGTAGGAATATATGAACACATGCATTAACACATATAACTTTCATAAATACAATGTATGAAAAGGGCAAGTTGCAGGAGAATATATAGTCTGATATCATTTATGGAAGGTCAAAATCATATAAAGCTGGTATATTTTAAGAATATAGGAAGTTTATAAAGTCAAGGGAATGAAACACAAAATTCAGGGTGTGGGAAGAGGCAAGGAGTAGAACATAGGAAGTTTCAAAGGTAGTGGTAATTATGAAATTAATTACTAACTGAAGCGGCAATAATAAATAGCTCTAACATATCAATTGTGTAAAAAAATAAAGATTAAAAAAAATTTATTCCAGCTTTCTGTCTAACATGAGTTGGCAGGTGACTCTACTCCCTATAGTCACTCCACACAATGCCTTGGTACCATCTTATAGGAGTTCACCAAGGCAGCAGCAGATTGAGAATCAAGTATTGGCAATAAATATTTCCACTAATAAATTACATGTGTCGCTTCTATTTCATTTAGCAAAAGCAAGTCATATGACTTGGAAGACAGAAAATATAGTTATCTTGTGTGTTCCAAAAAGGGGGTAAGGTTCTATCTTTAAACAGCAATTATATCTACTATAGCCATGTTTTATTTCTTAAACTATGTTGTTAAATTTTTATAATCCACTAGAGGCCTGGTGCATGAAAATTCATGCACTGAAAGGGGGCGTCCCTCAGCCTGGTCTGCCCCCTTTCACAGTCCAGGAGCCCTCAGGGGCAGGAGGCGACCCGGCAATCAGGGGAAGTCAATGCCCCCATTACACCTATGTTGCTGCCACTGCTGGCAGCACAAGCCGCAGGCAGCCCTGGTTACCTGAGCCTCGGGCAGCCCTGAGTGGCTGGGAAGCCACCATCTGAGGCTTGCCTGAGTCTCAGGCCAGCCCTATACATTGGGCAACTGACATCGAGGTTTGCCTGTGCTGTGGGCCAGCCCTGGGAGGCTGGGGGACTGGGGGACTCCGGAGGCAGGCGCATGGAGTGGTCAGACCCACCTGGGGGTAGGCCTGGCTGTGCCACGTGCCTGCTGCTCTGGTGGGGCTGAGGGGACTGGGCACTGCCTTCCTGTGGCTCTGGATGCCGCCATCTTTGAGGGTGTGACAGTCAATTAGCATATTTCCTTATTGGCTGTGTGCACCATCTTTGTGAAGGTGTGACAGTCAGTTAGCATAGTCACTCTTTATTAGATAGGATATTGGATGGATTGTGTGTGTGTGTGTGTGTGTGTGTGTGTGTATGTTTGTGTGTGACACATTATAGAATGTATGACTTATTTCATAACTAGAGACCTAGTGCATGGGGTGGGGGAGGGGGCAGTGGAGTCCCCCCAGCCTGGCCTGTACCTTCTCACAATCTGGGACCCCTCAGGGGATGTCTGACTGCTGGTTTACGGGCCTAAACTGGCATTCAGACATCCCTCTCACAATCTGGGATGCTGCATGCACCAGTGACCATACTTTTCATACAGGTGGAAGGCATCTTGCTTTTGTATGGGCAGCTATATTTTTTTGTCCTAATTTAAAAAAGTAGTTCATAACTTGATCCTTCTGAGGCAGTAGTACCATTTTCTCCATCTTGTGGAAAAACTGAAGCAGAGAGAAGTTCAGTAATTGGCTTTGTCACACAGTTATGTGTCAGAATCAGGGCTGGCCAACGATCAGAGCCGATCTGTAGGGTGGTGACTGGCAGGGCAATCAGGGAGCCCTGTTGGCATCCACCCACTCGCCAGCCCTGCCCCCATGGACTGGTCATTCTGTAGGTTGTTCCGTTGATCAGTCACTTTGCATATTAGGGTTTTATAGAGATGGATGAAAAATTTTGGAAATAAAACAGCGCAGCCATCCAAGGCTTGCTTGTGCCTCAGGCCAGCCCTACGCAGGTGGGCAGCCAACATCTAAGACTTGCTTACTTTTTGTTTTCCAGTTTTTGCTGATAGATAAAAATACAAATAAACCAAAGAAAAATTGGCAAAAAAAAGAAGTAAAGGTAATATGAAGAGATGCTTATCACCATCTATAAGCAGAGAATTGCCAATCAGGAGCATAGTAAAATACTGCTTCATACCCATTTGGTTGACAGAAATTTAAAAGTCCTTTATCAGATGTGTCTGTTGCAGTGAGTTTTCTCACTCCTTTGACAATGTCTTTTGCACAGCAGAAGTTTTTAATCTTAATGAAGTCCAGCTTACCAATTATCTTCTTCATAGATGGTGCCTTTGGTGTTGTATCTAAAAAGTCATTGCCATACCTAAGGCCATCTAGGTTTTCTCCTACATTATCTGCTAGTTTTGAATTTTGCATACGTCTTTGATTTATTTTGAGTTAATGTTTGTGCAGGGTGTAAGGTCTGTGTCTGGATTCCTTTTCTTACATGTGGATGGCCAGTTGTTCCAAGACCATTTGTTGAAAAGAAATTTCTCCATTGTACTTCCTTTCCTTCTTTATCAAAGAGAAGTTGACTATATTTATGTGAGCCTGTTTCTGGGCTCTCTATTCTGTTTCATTGATTGGTTTGTCTAGTCTTTTGCTAATACCAATTGTCTTGATTACTGAGCTTTGTAGTGTCAGTCCTACTTTATTCTTCAATATTGTGTAGCTATTCTGGGTCTTTGGCCTCTTCGTATAAACTTTAGAATCAGTTTGTCAATGTCCACAAAATAATTTGCTGGGATTTTTATTGGCATTGCAATGAATCTATAGAACATGCTGTGATGAACTGACATCTTGATATTATTGAGTCTTCGTATCCATGAATGTGGAATATCTCTCCATTTATTCAGTTCCTTGATTTCATTCATCAGAGTTTTGTAGTTTTCTCATATAACTCTTGTACATATTTTGTTAGATTTATACTTAAGCGTTTTTTTGAGTGCTATGTAAATGATATTGTGTTTTTAATTTTAAATTCCACTTGTTCATTGTTGGTACATAGAAAAGCAGTTGACTTTGGTATATTATTCTTGTATTCTGCAACCTTGCTATAATGGCTTATTAGTTCCAGGTGTTTTTTTGTCATATGTTTTATTTTTAAATGGCTAGTTTGTTTGTTGTTTGAGATTTTAGAAATTAGCGTTATGAATCTTATAGGTGGGTTCTGTGAAAATGCAAAATGAAATGGAAGCTAATGTACAGAATTTGAGAGTCATTATTAATTCAGCTAATGAGTATAACTGAGAAGTAAGCAAACTCAATCATATTTTCTGATGGTGTGAATAAAGATCAGTAGCCAAGAATAAGCTTCTGTTCCAAGATGCAGGAGGCTACTTTATGTTTCTGTCTAAAATCAACAACAATAACATTTTACTTTAGATGGTACAGCTATTTTTAAAAAATGTTTTCTTGCTCTGACCAGTTGGGTTCAGTAGATAGAGCGTCAAACTGTGGACTGAAGGGTCCCAGGTTCGATTCCCGTCCAGGGCATGTACCTTGGTTGAGGGCACATCCCCAGTAGGGGGTATGAAGGAGGCAGCTGATCAATGATTCTCTCTCATTGATGTTTCTAACTCTCTATCTGTCTCCCTTCCTCTCTGTGTAAAAAAAAAAAAAAAAAAAAAAAAAAAAAAAAAAAAAAAAAAAAAAAATCAATGAAATATATTTTTTTAAAAGTGAGGAAAACTATTAAAAAATAAAAATAAGTAAAAAATGTTTTCTTTACCTGTCTCATTAAATCTTTATTCTAACTCCATATGAGTTAAGTAGAATGATAATTTTCAACCAGTTTGACAGATGAGGAAACTGAGGTATGGAATAAATAATTGCTTGAACTGGACAAAAGCAACTCTGGAACTGTGACTCCAGAGCTTTGAACTCTCCCTTGAAGAATCTAAATAGTAAGTTTGTATTGCTTCAAAGGTCAATATGTAGAATTTAAAAGCCCTATTTGAGTTCATTTATAAGGACTTATAATATCATTTCCTGAGCATTTTGTAAAGAATATCATTTATAAATTTTATTAAATATAGTATGACTATGAGTTAAATTCTCCAGTTATCTTCCTTACAAGGTTAATACTGATATGGACAATATAAAAAAGTATAATAGAAGTATTATTACTCAGTTTGTAAAATAACTTGTTTTATCTTCCTCTATTGCTTTGATCAGACTACTATTAAAGTTAGGTTGCATACATTAATTAAAGTCTAACTAGACTTTGGGGAACACAACCTGGGACTGTTCTTGATTAAAGAAAACAATTTAGGGAAAACTAGAAATAGGGGACTTCATTTAGTTATACTTTGTGTATAGCATCTTCTTATGTATCAGATTGCCTTAAAATCTGTGAAAATTTAGGAAAGGTGAAGCTCACTTGAAAATTCAACCACCATTTTACTTCAGAAGAGTAGACACAACTAAATCAAATTTAAGATATATCAGAGAATTCACTGGTCTACCTATCTTGATCAAATAGGTGATACTTTTGATAATAATCAAATCAAGTTGAAAAACCTTGTTTTGTATCCTAAGGCCTTACTCACAGACAAATAGCTAGCTCTCCTTGAAGATAAATTGAGCAGTAGAATAGTTTTTGTTAAATGCTAACAGTAGATTGAAGAACTACCTAAACTCTACAGAAGATGCTGTTTTTCCCTGGGCTTTTAAGCTAGAGAAGGGGGATTATCAAAAAAGTTTAATGTTAATCTTTTATTTTCCTAGAGAAATTATAATTATTTGCTGTTCACACAAAGGAATTTTCTTTTATTTTCTTTTTATGTAGATCCATTTGAACCACAGCGGCGTCCCCCTATGAAGAAAAGTCGACAACAACTTCAGCGAGAAAAAGTCCTTCAAGAGCAAAGCCAAAAACTTGGACTGCAAGATGGATCAGTCAGATTATCTCCAGAGCAGCTGCTCTCTGCACCACAGCAGAGATTCAATCACCAAAAGCCAGAGTTTTCCTCCCCTGCTGCTCCTAATCCTCTTACACTCAACTGTCCTGTTGGCAATGGAAAACCACAGGACGCTGAAAGTCAACCAAGGGAACTGGGACTTGAGAATTCCCGGGATGGTCACATAAGTGCTGAGGTTGTACCTCTAAAACCAGATTGCAAATTGGAGAAAAAGAAAGTGGAATTGTTAGTAAGTCTATATATCCATGATACATTTTCCATTTTACTTTTTTTTTTTCCTATTGGGCTTTGAAGAAATGTAGTTTTAACATTTTATCTCTTTCATATTTTAACCTAGAAATGTGATAAACAAATTGTCGAGAAAGAGCTACTATAAGTCAGTCAGTGTTAGACATTTTATGTTTAATGTCACTTAGTTCATTATTTTCACTTTACAGCTACTTTGAACTTAGAATAGCTGTTGTATTCTCAAAGCCAATACACGACTAGTAAGTAGTAGAGTTAGGACTCAATAAAAGTCTCTCTGAATCCAGAGTCTATAACCTTGACACTCACAGAAGCATTTCTTATATGGGTAGGACTCCTTCCCAAATTGAATGCATTCTTCAACTTCCAGCTGCATCTTCATTGGCCCAGAGAAGGATACTTGTGAAGAGACATGTAGGGATGGTCAGAGGAAAGTGTAGGAAATTAACGGGACTAATTAAATAATTCACATATGTCATTAGATTTCTTTTTATTCTTACTTAATTTGTACTTGCAACCACCTCCAGAATTTAGTTTAGCTACATTCTTGTGAAAATTGCTATTCTATGACTTGTAAATTCATATAATTATATTATTTACTTTGACAGGAGATGTATAGCTGTGTGAATTATGAGAGCAAAATAGAACATGTGCATACATTCAAATAGTTTACCAACAAAGGCCTGAGACAAATAGGGGGTGGATTTGAATAGAGCCGGGCAATTTAGATTGCATGCCATGAGGAAAATTATTCTTTTTTTACGTACTTGGGAGAATTTCCATAGATTACATGTAATGTCTGGAACTGTTGTTGAAAAGGAGGAATTCTGAGGCTCTAAGAAGGGGAAAAGAAAGCTGTCTTTCAGAGACTGTTTAAGGATGACATCTCGCTCCTCTGGAAGAGGCAAAGATCAGGCCAGAGAATAATAAATAATTAAGAAAGAGTAAAAGGACTTGGGAGTAGAGATTCTTGCCTAGCAAGTTCCCAGATGCTATAGTACAGTGGTTGCCAACCACTGGTTGTCCGTGAGGTCTGAAAGGTTGGTGACTGCTGCTGTAGTGGACCACCACGCCCTCTAAAGGTGAGAGGCCCTGATCAGAATAATGGTGAGGAAATATTCAGGTGTCAGTGTTGCAGAACATTTGGAATAGGGAGCTGGCTAAGCTGGAACAAAGGCATCTGGTGAGGAGGTGACTGCGATAGTAAAAATGAGAAAGGACCAGCACTAAGATGGAAGTTGTAGGAATGGAGAGAAGGATAATTGTGGAAGTGGTTATTAAGTCTGGGAATAGATATTTCTGATATATGGCTGTAAAGTCTGGGAATAGATACTTCTGATATATGGCTGTAAAGTCTGGGAATAGATATTTCTGATACATGGCCGTAAGAAATGTCAATAGTAGGAACAAATAGCTTTTTCATTACCTTGTTTAATTTGAGTTGACGAATTTACAGGAAATTTTAATATACTTCTTTCAGAATTTGATTGGAAGACAATTCATGTTTTCAGACCTCTGAAGTTTTTCTTAGCCCACCATTCAAGTCTTAGTTCATAGTTTTTCACTTTGTTCACAAATGTTTAAGAGCTGGAAAGAAGTGAGCAAATTTAAAGAAAATGAATGAAATAAATATTGCTTATTGTCCTAAGGGTGTTTTATGATGCAGACTTTTATTATAGAAAACTCTACAGGGTCACTTCTGGAGAAGATGGTGGAGTAAATAAATTGTGTGCTCACCAGCTCCCACAGCCACATCAAGTTTACAGCTAAGTTATAGAACAACCACCCTCAAGAACCACCTGAAAATTAGCTAAACAGCCCAGCCGGCCTAGCTCTCAGTGGTTAAGTTTGACCTATGAATCAAGAGATCATGGTTTGATTCTGGTCAGGGCATATGCTGAAGTTGCGGACTTGATCCCAGTATGGGGTGTGCAGGGGGATGGCTAATCAATGTTTCTCTCTCATCGTTGATGTTTCTATCTCTTCCCTCTCCCTTCCTCTCTAAAAACCACAAAAATATATTAAATAATAAAAAAAGAAAATTAGCTGGACAGAACTTCTCTAACTAAAGATACAAAGGGAAGACTGGTAGAAGGGACAGAGACAGAACAGGTAGGTCCCACACTCATGGTGTGGCGGTGAGATTCAGGAAGGCTCTCTCAGTTGTGGAAGTTCCCTAATGAACTTCCCAGTTAGGGGTCCTAACCCTAGGCCATCTCCAGCCCAGGGCACCAGTGCTGAGAAGAGGAGTCCCCACAACATCTGGCTATGAAAATCAGCAGGGATTGCAGCACTGTGAGAAGGAGGGCTGCTAGCGGCCCTGGCTTTCTTTTTGAGGAGTCTGTGCATGGAGTTACTCACAAACTCCTTGTTCTAAGCCTGCAGGGGCAGCAGCTCATAAAGTGCCAGGGACATGCAAGGAGTAAGTGAATTGCCTAGCTTCAGATGAGGACTGGAGGAACATGGGCCAACTCTCTCTAGGGACAGAAGCACTGGCAGGTGCCATTGTTCCTTTGTTGAGCCTGGCACACATGAGTGCCAATCTAAGCTATCATCGTTCGCCCCATCCTGGTGAATCCCTGAGACCTCACATCATTCAACTCATGGAATACCTCAGCTCTTACTGTGGACTTTTCCTAAAATTTTAAAGGTTCACAAACCAAACAAGCAGCAGCTGACCTCAGCATGCTATGTACCTCTTGATAAGCAACCCCAAGCCTGACACAAGTGATGACTAATCTCAACTTGCATTTGGCTAGTGTCAGCCAAAATCATGGTGTCCACCAAAGGGTCCCAAGCTTGGCACTACTAGCAGTGGCGTTGGTTTGCAGCATAGTCTCTCCCAAGTACCTCCAAGTCTGGCACAAGCATCAACAAGATCACTTTGTAGCTTTGACCAGGTGATCCCAAGCCACCAGAGTCTGACCTTGGCCTGCATGGAGCTCCTCCTAAGAGGCTTCAAAACCAACACAATTGGTGACCAACTTCAGACCCCCCCAGAGCATCACCCAACCAGCTCCACAAAAGACACACCCAAAGGGTGAACTTAGCTGGCACCACAGCCCATCTGAAGAGACTCCCTCTCTATGGGATAAGTGTCTGCACAGCAGCTTCTCTGCTGTAGTCATAGTTGATCCTCACAGCAAGTAAGCGAGGTGGGCAATCCCACCCATCGATGGGCCAATAGCAATCAGGGCTTAACTACTACAGGAAGGCACACAACCCACAAAGAGGATGCCCCTGGAGCACCTGGCTTAGGCGAACAGAAGGACTGCACCATGGGGCGCAGAGGACATCCAAATAAAGTCACTCTGCCGAGGCTGGGAGACATGGTAGATCTATCTAATGTATAGAAAGAAATACAAGCATTCAAACAAATGGACAAGCATTCCCCAAATGACAGAACATAAAAAAGAGCAACAAAATGGAGACAAGCAATCTGCCAGATACAGAGTTCAAAACAGTGGTTGGTTATAGAATGCTCAATTAACTTAGAAAAAGAATAGATGAACTCAATGAGAACCTCAGCAAAGAGAAGGAAACAATAAAGAAAAAATGAATATAATAACTGAAATGAAGAATACATTAGAGGGAATTGACAGCAAGTTATAAGAAGCAGAGGACTAAGTCCGCGATCTAGAAAATAAAGTAGCAGAAAACACCCAATTGGGACAAAAAAATTTTAATATATTTTATTGATTTTTTTTTTTTTTTTACAGAGAGGAAGGGAGAGGGATAGAAACATTGATGAGAGAAATGGGATGTGCCCACAACCAAGGTACATGCCCTTGACTGGTATTGAGCCTGGGACCCTTGAGTCCACAGGCTGATGCTCCATCCACTGAGCTAAACCGGTTAGGGGGAAAAAAAAATTCTTTTAATGAGGACAGTTTAAGGTACCTTTGGGACAATATCAAGTGTATCAACATTCACATCATAGGGTTGCCTGAAGAAGAGAAAGAAAGCAAGGGACTGAGAACCTATTTGAAGAAATTATGACTGAAAACTTTTCTAATCTGGCAAAGGGAATAGACAAGCCCAGGAAGCACAGAGTCCCAAACAAAATGAACCCAAAGAAACCCACAAGAAGACATCATAATTAAAATGCCAAAGATTAAAGACAAAGAATCTTAAAAGTAGGAAGAGAAAAGCAGTTATGTACCAGAAAACTCCTATAAGAATGTCAGGTGATTTCTCAACAGAAATGTTGCAGGCCAGAAGTGATTGGCATGAATATTCAAATTGATGAATGGCAAAGACGTACAACAAAGGTTGCTCTACCCAGCGAGTCTGTCATTTAGAATCAAAGGAGAGAGAGAGAGAGTTTCCCAGATTAGAAGTAGCTAAAGGAGTTCATCACTATTGAACCAGTATTTCAAGAAATGTCAAAATGACTTCTTTAAGTAGGAAAGAAATAAAAAAAAGAAAGAAAATTATCACTGACAAAGGCAAATGTAGTAAAAGCAGTGGGTCAATCAATTGTTGAGGTTCTCACTGAGTTAATCTATTCTAAGAGGAAGGTTAAAAGGCAAAAGAACAAAGACCATGTTTAATTACAATTATACATAAACACACAAAAGAAGTAAAAAAGAATGACAAAAACAAACATGGAGGGGAAGAGTAAAAATTGTAGTGATTTTAGAACACGATCAAACTTTAAGAACCATCAACTTAAAATAGACTGCTCTAGCAGAGCCAATGTGGCTCAGTGGTTGAGCATCGACCTGTGAACCAGGAGATCACTGTTCAATTCCTGATCAGGGCATGTGGGTTCAATCTTCAGTGTGGGGCATGCAGAAGGCAGACAATCAATGATTCTCATAATTGATGTTTCTTTCTATCCTTCCTTCCTCTCTGAAATTAATAAAAGTATATTCTAAAAAAAATAGGTTGCTATAAATATAGTTTATATTTATGAAGCACATGGTAACCATAAAGCAAAAATCTCTAAGAAATATATAAGAAATGAAGAGAGGGATCCAAACTCAACACTAGAAAGTCATCAATATACAAGGAAAGAGGACCAGAGAACTACAAAAACAATCAGAAAGCAACAAAATGGCAATAACTAGATACCTATCAATAATTACTTCATATGACCCAGAAATTTCACTTCTGAGTATTTACCCAAAGAGACTCAAAACACTCATTTGAAAAAGACATGTACACATGTTCATTTCAGTCTTATTTACAATAGCCAAGATATGGAAGCAACCTAAGTGTCCATCAATAGATGAATGGATAAAAAACAATGGTACATATGTACAGTAGTATGTTACTCAGCCATAAAAAATGAAATCTTGCCGTTTGCAACAACATGGATGGACTCAAGGGTATTATGCTAAGTGAAATGAGTCAGAAAGACAAATACCATGATTTCAGTTATATGTGGAATCTCAAAAACAAATGAACAAAATAAACAAATAGAACAAATTTATAGTTGCCAGTTGGGAGGGGGTTTGAGGAGATGGGTGAAAAAGGTGAAGGGATTAAGAAGTACAAATTGGCAATTATAAAAATAGTACAGTGATGTAAAGTATAACAAAGGGAACATAGTTAATAATATTGTACTAACTATATATTATGTTAGTTGGGTACTCAATTTATCAGGGTGATGACTTTGTAAGGTATATAAATGTCTAATATGTTGTACACCTGAAATTAATGTAGTATCATGTCAACTGTAATTGAAAAACTTATTTAAAAATTAAATGCACATTCAGTCTGGAGAAAAAGAAAACTTTCTAGGCATTCAAAGAAAGGATATTATGATACATAACCAGGAGGAAAATCATCAAGACAAACAGCCCACAAACAATGGGAATTATCAGGCAAAGAATATTTAAACAGCTATTGCAAATATGTTCCATGGGCCCAAGAATGTAGACTATAAAGTGATTTAATGATTAAATCACTAAAATAACTTTGAAAAATATAACATATTAGCTACAGACCTACTTATTTTTCTCTCCATTTTGCATATAATACATAATTAACTTACATAGGTTTCTTTGTACTTCTAAAAAATGCCACATTATTCTGGCTTCCAGTTTGTGGGTTCCTAGGTTATATACATATAATGGATTTCAAAGGGCCAATTTACGGTATGTAAGCCTTCTTTACTTCAAATCATAATCTTTGTTTCTATTAGAACAAAATAATGAGCTGCAGATGGGTTCCTTTCAAAAGGACTTTTTAAAAACTTATACATAATCTGGCTGATTAAATTTTATACGTGGGGGCCTGAGACTGGGAAGGTGTGGGGTGGTGTTTCAGAAACTCATTTTTACACTTTTTTGCTCCCTAGGCAAGAAAAGTCTCGTTGGGAAGTGCTCCAACGTGAACAGCAGCTAATGGAAGAGAAAAATAAACGTAAGAAAGCTCTTTTGGCTAGAGCTATTGAGGAAAGGTGAGGCACCTGTACCTGGGGAGATGGTTTGTAATCTGCAGTCAGCTCTGTCATGTTTTATATTTATTTCCTATGTCTATTCTAATAAAGTGGCATTTTCTTTAAGGCCAATTAAGCAAATTATGTTTTACAAATGATATTGAAATCATTTAAGGATAGAGCATAGCAACTTTACTGGTAACACAGGTACAATTAAAACTTAAGGATCAGTGTCAGTGCTTTCAGTTTTAACCATCTATGCATTCATAAGGGAGCAGTAAATATGTCAATATAAGTAAATTAAGAAATGCAAGTTTTCATTTTGACAAGAGGGGGCTAGAGATATGGAGCGTTTTGTTTGATGTTTCAATGTAAAGAGAATAAAATTATATTCTTTTAGAGCCTTTATCATTAGGAGCAGATTGTTTTATATATAAATGCTTTATACTCCCACAAATCTTAGGTTTCTTATGGACATTTTTCTTAAATAATTACTCTGCCCCCACTGATAGAAGATACATGATATAATTTAAGCTTTTATTGATGACTTGGGTCACCACTGCGGGTACTGTCCCATACTGTTTGCAGTTCAGTTTTTCTCTCGCCTCCCAATGTCAGTGTGTCCGAAATCCCCCTCCCCCATTTTTTACTGTGTTGTGCTAACCTCAGATAAGAACATTTCCATTAGAATTTCTTTTCCCATCCATTATCCACTCTTTCTGCCCTTTATTATTTTTATTTTGGTTAATCCTTACCCAAGGGTATTTTTTCCATTGCTTTTCATAGTGAGTAGAAAGAAGGGAGGGAGAAGGAAAGAGACGGGAGAAAAAGAAACATCCATATGAGAAAGACACATCAATTGGTTATCTCCTATACATGCTCCAACTGGGCCCAGGCATTGAACCTGCAACCCAGGTATATGCCCTTGACTGGGAATCAAATGTGCAACGATTTGGTACACAACTGATACTCTAACCCCTGAGCAATGCCAGCCAGGGCTCTTTCTGCAATATGAGGTTTTATGTGGGAGTTTTATTCTCCTGGAAAAATGTGTGTGACATTTTGAAATGAGTGAAATCATGATTAAAGATTAGATTTTATCTTTGTTTTGTTTGTTAAGTTTGTAATGTACTTGGGGGTGGTGAGGAGACTGAGAGATGGTGAGGTTGAATGTGCTTTTAAATAAGAAAAAAATAGTGCTTGACTTTGAGAAAGAAAGAAAAATTTTGAGGACCTGTAGTTTTACCTAAAGAAAGGAATCAAAGCAATAACAGTTTAAGGAAATGAGTCCTAAGAAAGTTAAAACCAAATAGATGTTTCTAGACAAATAAATGGTCTGTTTTGGTTTCCAGGTATCAAATGAAAATGGGCTAGAGATATGGAGCGTTTTGTTTGATGTTTCAATGTAAAGAGAATAAAATTATATTCTTTTAGAGCATATTCTCTTCCTTATGGAATTAATATATCTATGAGTGAACTATTTATTGATAAATTTTTCAGTTTTTTCCCCTTGTATATGAAAATCATCTATAATAATTATATAATAATAAAAGCGTAATATGCTAATTAGACCGAACAGCCGAACATCCTTCTTGACATTCTTCCGACGACCTTCCAGATGAAGGCGGGGCTGCAAGGGCAGAGAAAAGCTGTTGTGGCTGCGAGGGCTGAGCCCCTTGCAAGAATTTCGGGCATCGGGACTCTAGTATACTATACTAATAGGAAATTTGGAACACTAAGGAGAAGAAGCGCAAATCTTAGAGATACACCAAAACGTTACCGGCATTTGATTTATTTCTATTTTTCTTACATAAATTACATTTATTTCTATTTTTCTACTCTCTATTTTTAAAAAATGATATATTATATTCATATTATAAATACAGTAAGCTCAGCGGCTGGCAAACTGCGACTCTTTGCAAGCCGCGGTTTGCCGCTCTGTTCACTAATGAGTTTGCTGACCACTGCCTTAGGGAAAAACACTTAAAAAACATTTTAATAATATACTAATGTCTTTAACCTGAAGTCAAAACTTCTGGCTAAGGGTGATGCCTTACGCAGTGGTCGGCAAACTCATTAGTCCACAGGGCAGCAAACCGCTGCTCACGAGCTGCATGTGGCTCGCGAGCTGCACATTTGCCGACCACTGCAGTAGCTTGCTTTTTTTCATTTACATTGTATATGGATATATGGTTTTAGAATGTTTTTATTTTTCCATTCATGTTCCTAATTTTATAGATCTAAAAGAACTCAGGCAGAGACAGTGAAACTGAAGCGGATCCAGAAGGAGTTACAGGCTTTAGATGACATGGTTTCAGCTGACATTGGAATCCTCAGGAACCGGATTGACCAGGCCAGTCTGGACTATTCAAATGCTCGGTGAGTTGGAGAAATTTGATTCAGAACAAGCAGTTCGATTTAATTCATGTGCATTGCTAGTTGGGTCAGGACCTTTTATGTGTATCATCATTTAAGCCTCATAGCCAGCACAGTAAGTGTTGTATTCATTCCTGTTTTGGAATAAGTAGTGTCTAGTGTGTCTCCTCTTCTTGAAGTTTTCCTTTACTTTGCTCTACCCCTTAACCTTGTTCATATCCCTTTTAGATTATTTCCTTATTGTTTATTTACATTTTAGTCTTTCTTACTAAAGCATCAGATATTTAATGTTTGAGACTCTTTAAGTATCTGAATGGCTTGCCCCCAAATTATAATTTTAATGCCAACTCTATGATTTTTTTGTTAAATTTTGATTGAGGTTCTCCTTAGGGATTAACCTAGTTCCCATTTTAGTTTTCATTAAAGAAACACCTAGTTTATTTTTCAAAGCCTGTGAATATTTAAAGAAAATATCACTGTCTTGAAAGCTTCAAGTTTTTTCTTTCCGATTCTATTCTGTATAAAATAGCTTCCTATCATGTGTTTCCTTGGTTTCAGCCATTGGCATTTTTTTAAGAGAAAAAAATCATCATAAGTATTTTTAAAATGAACTAACACATGTAAAGAATTACATGAACTTTGTAAGCAGATAAAAAGGCAAAAAATTAAGTCCAATTTCAGGGTTTTCAGTCCTTTCAACATTGCTTTAATCATCCTGGTTTGTCTTTTTCACAAGGGAATGCTGTGTTAATGACTCCGTTTTGCATCTTTCTCTGTAACACTAGAAATCAATCAGAATGCCTCATTAGTCCAGGGTAAACCACAGCATCAGAATGTTTATATAACAATTTAATAAAGCGGAAATGCTTGATTGTGGTTTTTAATTCACTGTTTATTATTTAAGAAAGAGGTTTGTGGTGTCCTCATGATTTTTGTAATTGTTGTTTGACCATGTGCTGTTAGATTTAATGGGTTGCCTAAATTAATGCCATCAGTAGCTGATAACTAGAGGTTCCAGATTTCTACTAATAAGGTCATTAAGGAGGTGACTCAGATTTTATTAAGATTAAACTAAGCCTAGATGTTTAGCACATTTTATTCTCTGGAACTTAAGGTTGCCAGAGGAATTTTTTTTTATTTATTTTTGGCCTTTATAGCCTTTCATATGAGTAATTCAGATTATTCTGGATACTTACAGGAAAGTTATCAGATTATGTTTTAATTCTGGCTTAAAGGAGCCGGGGAGAGGATGCCTTTGTACACTGAACATTATATTTTTAAAATTTCATAATTTTAGCCTTCAGAGAACCACAAAGAAGGTGGAATTACAGGTTAAAGGAGGAAATATCCCCAAAAAAAGAAATGTTTGTAATGAGATTTCAGTAAATTTTTACAAAATAAAAAATTTCACATGGTGCATTTTTTACATCTCTTAAGCTCAAAATGGTAATTTCTTAAAGTACTGATATTGACATCATTGTATGTAAATATCCATATTGCATGTGTGAGGCTATTTTTGTAAATCTTATTAAAAATTGTGTCTGTGTATCTTGTTCATGCATAAGATTAAGACATTTTCTAAATTTATGTCTGTGGATATGGAGAAATTATAGATTTTTAATATATTATTATGGTCTAGATTTCTACAAATCCCCAAGGTAGTCCATTTATTTGGGAGATTTTCCTTGATTTAAAAAAAAAAAAAAAATACATCGTTCTCTAGTGCCTGGTACAGTGCTGTGTCCACAAAAGGTTCTGGGATATTGAACAGGCCAGAGTTCACTGTGGAATTGGCTTCTGTAGAGCAATATCAGGGCAAACACTTTTGAGTGAGCCAACTTGAGCATTGCTGCTGCTGCTGCTGCTGTTGGCAGCAACAGTGACAGTGTTGCCATATGCTGTGCAGACCAGCTTGTAAAACTCAGAGTGGCTGCATGTAGAACATTTCTTTAACCCTCAATATACCAGGAAAAACAATTATCACTATTTGCCACCTCTGTTTAACAGACGCTCCCCACACACATGTACACACATGTGCACATGCATGTATAATTTTAAGTCATTTTATGAATAATTGACAGAGTGAGAATAAAAGGGATTGTGGAAAACAACTTCATTAAAAGAAGAACGTAAGCATCACAAACCTCTTTGTATCAAGTAATGTTTGACTCCAAAACTTATTTAAAAAAAAAAAAAAACAGAAAGAATGTAGCTACAGCCTCCTAGCAATACAAGATGGTCCAGATACTTGTAAAATATGGATTGATTAAGTTCTTCCTATTGAAACTATTAACTATGAAAAATAACATTTTCTTTGTATCCTCTTTTCACTCATTGATTCGTGAGTTTGAGAACATTCATGTAGGATGTGGTTTTTTGTTTTGTTTGTTTGTTTTTTTGAAGACATACTTTGAGATGTCACACGAACAGTTTCACCATCTGGAATCTAGACTGGCTCTATGTGCATTTGTGTTGGTTAACTAGGGCTGCCATAACAGATTACTACAAACCGGGTGTCTTAAAACAAGAACAATATACTCTTACATTTTCTGGAAGCCAGAGTCTGAAATCAAGGTGTGGACTGGGCCAGCTCACACTTTCTTCAGAGACTCTAGATTTTGGAGATTAGAAAGAGAATATCTTTGTGGAATCACTGTTTAGCTACCACAACATTTATCTTTTGACCTAATGACTGCAAAATGTTTTCATCTGTCAATTTTCTCTACTTTGTCATTAGCACATAGAATAAAAAAATACTAATTCTCAACTGTGTTCAATGAAAGCTAGAGCAGATTACAAAACTGGGGTTTCCAGTCTTTTATACTTTCTTGAAAGATGATATAATACTTTGGACAATGCAGTAAGGAAATTGAACCATATTGATTTATTTCATTATAGCATCATCCTTTTAGGTCATTTCACCAGTCTCTTTTTTCTTATTATTTTAATTGGTTAGGATAAATGGGAATAATTGGTACAAGGAAATAACGTCATAGGGTGAGGAAATGGAAAAATGTTAAAAAAAAATAATAATATCTCAACGATCTGGTAAAGTAACCTACATTATAAAAGGATCCAATGGTCCTATGTAGTAATTGCAAAATATGATTAGTTTTATTCTACTTTTTTAATATATATATATATATATATATATATATATTTTATCTTTGGTCTCTAGAAGGCTTCTAATAAAAAAAAAACTTTAAAAATCATATGTTTGTTGATCCTTACAAATAGCTATAGTTGCTAATAAAAGAAGCAGAAAAGCTAAAAGTGGCTCAGTGGAACCTAGAGGCATGCCAGAGATCTCTTCACACCCAAGAAAAAAACAGGTACACGGGTTATGATTGAGGTTTCTTGTTGTTGATTTTTTAGTTTCAGGGATGCCAAAGCCAAGACACAGTTTCCAGAATTCTTTAAATAACAATTAAATCATTCAGTGTCCCTTTAAAATAACAAACTAAATCTGTAATTACATTTCAGCTGAACTTCTCTTACTGTGTTATATATAATGCACTTATTATTCTGTTCCAAAGTGTGTCTTCAGGTTGATTTGGTACATCCACCTGACCCCCAGGCCCATAGTGTAGTTTGTAAAACTAATCAATACTTTAAACATAAATCACTCTGTACAAGAATGTATATGCATGTTTCTGGCCAGAAGGACTTAAATAAATAAACAAAATGCAGAATCTTCAGTGATTTATCCAGGGTGAAAGATTGATGGAAACCTAGGTAACTATTTGCAAATTTTCATTTCAATTCAGCATTCATGAGCCCGGGTCAGTAAATCTTTCCTGGCTGAAGGCAACCACAGCCTCACAGAGAAAGGAGGATTGAGCTGGGGGGGGGGTGGGGGGAGAGAGGTAGTCATATACCTATAGAGAGTGTTGTTAGAGTGTTCATGCTTGATGCCAGAACATTCACAAACAGGTTATGTTATACAGTATGGAAATCAGGGATCCAAATATCCAACAGAGCTCCTTTAGCACAATTCTCTCAACACAGAGAGGAATGGAAAAACAGTTTTCCCATTCTCATGTTTACTAGAGGGCAGTAAAAAAAGAAAAGAAATATGATAAATAGATGTTATGTAAGTTAGAGTTTTCAAGTATAAGCACCAGATCCTTATATTTTGCATCATTTTCCTTTTAGACACATGTTTAGTGATGTACTGAGAGTGCTTTTTGAGTCTGGTGCTCCAGAGGGCAAGTTCTATTTCCTGACTACCTACCAGGCCCTAGACCAGACACCTGCCCTACTCACATTACTTAATCCTTAGTGCTCCTATGAAGTACTTTTCTCACCATTTTACAGATAAAACAGAACTCCATTGAAGGAAATTGCCTCGGGTCACTCCACTGGAATTTTAGTCATTGCGTGCTTCGTCTCCAACCCCTCCCACAGAAACCTGGCTGTGTTTCATACTCATGATGCTGACCCTGGGCCATCCCTGATTAGAACAAAGACAAGCTACCAACTCCAAAACATTTCATCCTTGGACCACACAAGGGTTCAGAGCATGGCCCGGTACTATGAGCTCTGTGAAGAACAGGGACTCATTCAAACTAGCTCAGGTAAAAAGTGGGTTTTATTATTTTATAGGATAAAGAGGGAATCTCACAGGCATGTGATCATAATCACAGGCTATCCTCTTCAGTGCTCAGACGCCACAGTTTCTCTAAGGCGTTTCGGCTTTTTCTACGATACTCCTATACTCACCACCCAATGTTGCCACCAGCTGTGGCTCTATATCAGATCCACACCCACTCCGCCCACTCTAGCAGAGTTCCGGAATTCCAGAGGGAGGACCTGAGTTGACTTTTTACCTGGATCTCTTCTTCACACCCAAGAAAAAAACAGGTACACGTCTAGCAAATGGCAAAGGCAGGTTTAGAACTCTGGGTTTTCCAAAATCAAAGCCTTTTATTTTTTCACTATATTTCCTTCCAAGACAGAATCTTGAGTTAGGAGATACAGCTATTTTTTTTTTTGCTATAATTTTAGTACTAGAAATTACTTATTATATTGAGTTGTATAGGCAATCATAAGACAGCATAGCCTTCACAACTGTTAATGGACATTAAATGGAATAAATTATTTGGTAAGTGGGGATCACTCTTTTCTTGGCAAAAATAAAAGCAACATCTTATATAGAAAAGTCCAAACACAGTGAACCAATGTATAATTTTTTTATATCAGCTTAATGCAAAAGAAAAAGGTGGAAATTGCAGGGTGACTTTTCCAGTAGAATTATCTTACTTCAAGTAAGACTGGTGTTACTTATCTATAGAGTTTACATATCTGACATTTATAAAATCCTATATAATAAAACCCTAATATGCAAATTGACAGAATGGCAATGGAACAACTAGCTGAACAACCAGTCACTATGATTTGACCACTAGGGGGCAGATGCTCAAAGGAGCTGCCCCATGGGTCTCGAGCCTAAAGCAGCAGTATGATATCCCCTGAAGGGTTCCCTGGGTTGTGAGAGGGCACAAGCCAGGCTGAGGGACTATCCCCTCTCAGCCCTCACCCCGTAAGAATTTTGTGCACTGGGCCTCTAGTTTCCTAATAAAACTCTTAATAACGCTGTTGTAGAGTGGAGAGGGTGAGAACAACTTAACCCAGGGATTCTCAAATGGGACATTTTTGCCCTTTGGAGAAGATGTGGAGACATTTGGTAATGTTCTGGAGATATTTTTGGTTATCACAACTAGATGGTGCTACTGGCAGCTGGTGGGGAGAAGCCAGTGATGCTACACATCTTACAATGTGTAGGACAGCTCCCCATAGCAAAGAATTACATGGTTTGAGTTGCCGGGAGTGCCGATGTTGAGAAACCCTTCCAAAACATATCCTGAGGTTTTCTTTCCTATTTGATTTTTACTTTTTGCCTGCACCCAGTATCATTTGCTTTGTGTGTCCTGTCCCATTTATATTCATTTACCAACCACTGTCCATATCCTTCTCCTCCAAAATTTTTCTTCCTTTTTTAATCCATTAATCAAGAGATCTAGATTTCTCAAAACAAAAATCTGATTAAAAATGGGGAAAGGGCCCTGGGCAGTTTGGCTTAGTGGATAGAGCCTCTGCCTACGGACCAAAGGGTCCTGAGTTCGATTTTGGTTGCAGGCTCCTCCCTGGCCCAGGCTCTGATTGATGTGTTTCTCTCACAACTATGTTTCTCTCTGACTTTCCCTCTTTGTCCCACTCTAAAATCAAGGAAAAATATCCTCAGTTGAGGTTTAAAAAAATAATAATAATAAGCAGAGGACCTAGATAGACACTTTTCCACAGAAGACATACAGGTGGCTAACATTTATATGAAAAGGTGCTCAACATCACTAGTCACAAGGGGAATGCAAGTCAAAACCACGATGAAATACCGCCTCTTGCCTATTAAAATGGCTATTGTTAATAAGACATTAAGTAACAGGTTTCGGAAAGATCTGGAGAAATAGGAATCCTTCCTTGCACACTGCTATGGGAATGTAAATTCGTGTAGCCACTATGAAAAAATTAAGAATAGAGCTATCTTATGATTCAGTGATCCCTTTTGTGCATACCTACACCCAACTTTGAAAATACTGGTAAAGCCATATGTACCCCTCTGATCATTGCAGCATTATTCACAATAGTTCACTGTCTTTGGCCGTTTCTATATAATTTGTTGCTTTTCTATTTTCATAAAACAAACAAAGTTGGATGATTGGATAGAATAGATGTGGTACCTATATACAATGGAATACTACCCAATCATTAAAAAGATGAAATATTACCATTTGTGGCAACATGGATGAATCTTGAAAATATGCTAAGTGAAATAAGTCCCTTGGGAAGGACAAGAACCATATAATTTCATTCTATGTAGGATATAAAACAAAAAGAAACCAATAAACAAACAAAAAACTCAGATAGAGACAGCATGGTGTTTAATAGAGGAGAAGGGAGCTGGAGAGAGGTAGAAGGGACTAAAGGGGGTTAAATATATGTCACGATATATTTAACACAATAGAGTGCGCAGATGTATTATAAAGTACACCTAAAACTAATATAATGTGATTATTAACCAATGTCACCCTGATGATTGAATTTAAATAATAGAGATTTGTTCTCCATCTTTTACTGTTTTACCACTCATAAATTTAACCAGTTGTGTGCTGGAGCTAGTTCATGAGAGCAGATTTTGTGCATTTCCTCTCCTGTTCCACATTCAGTTAGTTATATTGATAGCTTGAAATTGGTCATGGTAGTATGTTCACTAGAGAAGTTGACAAACACTACAAATCAGGACTTACCCCCTTTAGAGCTAGCATACCACTGAATTAACCCTCTTCGCCTGCTTTCATTCTAGCACAGCTTTGGAAAGAGGAAACGTGTGCAGGAGAGTGTTGATATATAGGAGAGTAAGTGTGGATGTTGTGGAAGTTTCGGCAGCAACAGCCTAGTTTGTCTAACGTGTAGACAAGAGTTCATAAAGTACTATCGGTAATGGTCAGATCTTCATTATACCTTGTTACCAGATTCTGGAGTTTATTGCTGCTCGGCCCGCTTTCTGCTATGGAAAATAATGGACCAATCTTTGTGCCTGTCCCTACAGGAAGCGGTTTGACAAGGCAGAAGCGGAGTATGTTACGGCCAAGCTCGATCTACAGCGCAAGACTGATATTAAAGAGCAGCTCACTGAGCACCTTTGTACAATCATACAGCAAAATGAGCTCCGCAAGGCCAAGAAGTTGGAGGAGTTGATGCAGCAACTGGATGTCCAAGCTGATGAGGAGACTTTGGAGCTTGAGGTGGAGGTGGAGAGACTACTGCGGGAACAAGAGGCAGAAGCAGGGAGACAGAAGGTTCATGGAGAGAGGCCAGTTCAGCCTTCCGGGGAGAGTGTGACATTAGGGTCTACTCAGAGCAAAGAGCATCAAGCACCAACTGCCTGCCCAAAGGTAGAAGAACAGTGTGAAAATCCCAAGAGCACTCCCCTTCTCACGCCAGACCACCCAAGTCAGGAAGTGAAGACTAGTGCTCATGACCACGGTTCCGCTGCTCTGACCACATGAAGGGCCAGTGTTTGTTGTTTTCAGCAACTATGGTCTTCAGTAGTCTTCCTGGTGTAGAGTATGCCATGACCGCCGATAAAAGCCTCTTTAAAACAATATTAGTTTTTTCATCTAGGATTAGTTTTAGAAATAACATGCTGGACCATTCTGAAGTCTCATATAATTATAATTTTACCCATAGTTCACCTTTATTTTGGTCCAGTTTCGTTTTTGTCCCCTCATTTTGGGTGAAAACAAGTAACTTAAAGGATAGAAGAAAAATTACATTGTTATGAGTGTTTTTAGACCAGGTCAATATACACTTTTATATTGCCTTTTAAATGGATCGAGTTTACAAACTGAATTTTGATTGGTTGATATATACACACAAGCATATATATATATATATATATATATATATATATATATATATATATCAACATGCTATATATATAATTTTCCTATTAATAAATTGTCTTTAATCAGCACATTGATTAAATTTAGACAATGAAAACTTGGCTATAGTGAGAATGAAAATAATATAGAAAATCTTGCTACTTTTGATTATGAAAAAAATACATTTTCTTTCTAACATTTCAGTAATTATGTATTTTATATGTTGGATATAAATTATCCTGTCATAAAGCATGTAAATTGTTAAAATGGTGATTTTCTTATTACTCTAATAGTTTATTAATTACCATCACTAATACTTGAACACTACATTGTGCTATATGTGAATTTGTAAATAAACATTATAATTTTGTTACAAAATCTGTGAATATCACATTAAATTCTGATTCATCAGAACTTCCAAACAGTAAAGTCAAGCATTTTAAGTCTTAAAAAAGAAAGAAAAGAGGATGACAAATATAATATAGTAGACATAATCATTTCTAAAAAATAATTTTTAAATGAATTTGTTTGAGAATATTATTTTCTAGCAGTGAGGTTGAGCTCTGTATTTTTATATTATGTAATTTGATTTGAAATTATAGCTCTCCATTACTGGCTTTTCTAAACAGAAGCATTTTTGTAGACCGTTTTTATTTATGAATGGCATGCATAAAAACTGAAAGCTTCATTGTCCAATATGCTCCTATTTTTCTAAGGGATAAACAAATCTGATGCACTTATAATGTGGTCTCTCGTTTATCTTTTTTTTTTTTTTTTTAATTTCACAGTTTAAATGTGTTCTTGAGCGGTGTATGGCAGTAATGCATCCTGAGTCTTCATATGGTAGATACAATCAGCTACTTTTGTATGAATCTCGTGTTAGGGAAAAATTCATCCATAAATGAGGTTCTATAATATTGTATCCAAAAACAGATGGGTACAACTAAATACTCGGTTTAAGTACCTTAAGAATTTATCATATAAGGTTTATGGAGACATGAAAATCATGAAATAAATTAAATGAATGGGGCCTTGGAGATCATCTGATTTAATGATCTTACTTTACAGATGAGGAATTGGAGAGCCAGAGATTTCACTTATGTCATGCTGGCCGACTGGCTCACTTTAGACTTATAGGGATAGTCACGTTGCAGTTCTAAACTCTTGATGTGTCTCTTTCAACCTTGATGTATCTCCTAGAGTGCAGACCACGAAGTTCACTGCCTTCCTCTTAACAATGTTGCTTTAGAGCCCACTCTGGGATTGTGTTGGTCGTTCCTGTGAAATGCTTTCTATAAATGGTCCACTGAAACCATTATGTTGAAAAACATACCTTGCTCGGCGTTCCCAGGGTGGTATCTGAGTGTTCAGGTGATGATATAAGTGACAAAGTTCTATTGCATCAGTTTTGTACAAGAGCAGCTGTAGCCCATGTGTGAGAGGAGCACGAGCAAATGAGCGAGACATGAGGCTCACTGGTATGAGGACCATATGCACTGGTTTTTCCAGGATATCCCTGATATCTTTTAAAATCATAAAATACATTCAAAAGACTTTTGATATATGGATTCACAAATCCGCAGTAATTGTTAGTTTCTGTGAAGGAAATTATTGGTTCAAAATTGCTGCCATGAGTTTATTGGGGCACTTTGTAGAGCTGTCTTTCCTGGAGTTAAATTCCTCTTCTCTTCCACTTCTCAAATAGTCAGAGCATAAGGTTATCAGGGCACTTGATGTGCTATGTAATTGAGGAGTTAACTGCTTTGGGTTATCTCGCTTGTTCTGTTTAAAAGACGGTCTTTAACAATTTGTAATTTTTACTCGTTTATCTTTAAAAAAAATACTTTGAAGAGTAAGTTGAATTTCTGAGTTTTCAGAGTTCTTTACCTTGATAACATACTTCTTTCTTTAAATTAGAGCCATGTTTTATTAGTTTTAAGGAGACAGAATTTCTTAAAACAAGGGTTGTGTTGCATTGAAAACAGTTTTTTTCTTAAGTTTTTCATCTCTGCATAATTCTACTGATGGAATTATGGCAATTGCAGGTAGTAAATCTTTGTACTCACTGCAAGCACAGCTGGTTTCCAAGTCAGATGATAAAAATCTGATTGCAATTCCTAGAGCATATTTCATTGCTGGATTGGCATTTGAATTAGAGAGTAAAAACTCAGCTATAAACCTCTCTCATTCTTTGTTTGGATTTAGCAACACAGTACTCTCAAGGAGCTTTATCTAAGTATTTAGCAACTTCCTCTTCTGAGGCACTGGCACAAAACGGACTCAAGTTATTCTGACCCAGGCCATTCCCAGTGACCTTTATAAATGATGTTTTGGGTTTTGTATTTCTAAGGAGCCAAGTCAGCAGTTTAAAAGGCCCTGATAGATATAACTCGGTCTGCCAGACCAGACCTGGGGTAATTATACCCCTTCTCAACATAGATCTACCCCAGGCCTGACTTGAACTACTCTCTGGAGGGATGAAGCAGGACACTGTTTTCCAACCTGCCTTTACCTTAATGTCAGGCTACTTTTGCAAGCTCCTAATCCCAAACAGCTGTCTTAAAAATGCAATATCATCCCTATGCAATGGATCAAACAACTGTATATAGCTACATATATGGACAGAGCTGTAGAAGAGGTACATGACCTGTGCTTTTGTCCCTAAGAAGCTTCTAGTCTCTGTGAAGAACTAAGATTGATACTCATAAAATAGAGGCTGATACCGAACATGTCTTAGTAAGGGGAGGACAGAATAAGTATTAGGAACACTGAATATAGATGCATCCTCCGGAAGTCCCAAATTTTTCAAACACGTAATTTTAAATATTCTATCCAGTTGTTTTGCAATCCAAGAATGTATCTAGGACCTGCCATGCATTTTGGTTTGCCGTTAGCACTGGGAGCAATACCCACACACAACTAAAACAACAACAAAGACTTCTGTTAGTATGTCCAGATTTTGAGTTAAAAAAAAAATGTAGTAACCAGAGCAAGAGTGCATTGGAAGACAGGGAGGCTTTTGCATGTCACTGATTTAAAAAGTGAGCCCACTGGGATTTAGTGAAAAAACAAACAAACTTCAAGCATTGGGAAAATTAACTTTAAGCACATGCTTTTCTGACAAAAGGTTGATGTATCCTCTTAAGTGCAGAATAGTGTAATTATAAGGGCCCATTGCAATAATTCAAGGCATTGCTAAACCAAGGGGCAGTAATTATTGCCCAAGCCAGAAAAAGATGGAAGTGGAATAGACTGGTGTGTGAACTCAAGGAAAATTCAACATGGATGCATGTTCAAAGTCACACGTAAGAGAGGTCTTTCCAAGCCAAATGGCTCTAGGAACCTAAAATAGAGCCATAATTAAGCAATAAGACGTGACAGAGAGCACTTTTCTTGGTGATTATAGCATGCCTCAGGGATAAGTCAGTAGGCCAAAAGTTCATATGAGGAATGAAGTAACCTTGCAATGTATAGTGTCACGCTATTAGAGGGAGGAGGAGGAGGAGGAAATGAATAATGGGAGTTAGTAGAGCTATTTCATAAGCTATTACTTTCAGTTGTTGGGTAACACTATCTTGTGTATACTACCTGTGGCCATTAGTTGCAGCCAGCATCCTAAAGCTCCATGTTTACACCAGAACCTTCATTAAAGTAAAAACCCTGTAGAACTGTCTTCTCATTTTCTTAGCCAAGCAAAAACCAGGCAATGCAGACACAAGCCATACAAATGGAACTATGTAGTCTGGTAGAATTATAATTGCAGTTGCTTAAACCTGGCTTGTATAACTTAAAAGTAGCTGAAGCAACCACATTGAGTCATTTTCAGTATTGTGGCTCATTTGTCTCGTGCATTTAACTCAGAAACTACCAATAGACATGGCCCTGTGTCCCATAGGTTCAGAAACCTCTGCAGCCTTCTGTGCTGAGCTTTCCCTTCCTCACTGTGTTGCTACTGGAAGATGGGAAGCACTCTAGAACTAGTTACCAACTGAACCTCATGCAATGGTGGAGGCGGGCCTTTCACCGGGATGACAAGTGAAATACCCAGTTTCGAAACTCTGAAGATGCCCTGAAAAGGCCTGCAGATAGAGGCAGCCTTATGGCCATATTCCTCCAATGATTCTCTTATTCTTATCACTTCAGAAGATAAGTAAAAATCTTCTGAACCAAACAGACAAGTTATTTTGTGTCCTTCACATCTCCTATGGCACAGGCCAGGGCTGGACTCTGGACAAATTTCAATGGTTTTTATCTTAGACAGCTCAGCCCCTCTTTCAGGTGACCCATGCTCTCATTCTCTACAAATCTGCTCTTAGGAAAAGATCTGAAGACAGTTAACTAAAGAATAAAAAAGTTGTGTCCTTCCAAAATTCATACGTTGAAACTTAACCTCTGTGTTAGGAGGTGGGCGGGGCCTTTGTAAGGCCATCAAGGTGGAGGCCTCATAATGAGACTTACTTTCTTGTAAGAGACCTTCAAAAGCTCCCCTACCTCTCTAACTATTTAAGGACAGAGGAGATAGGCATCTCTGAACCAGAAAGCAGCTCCTCACGAGATGCCAGCACTTCGGTCTTGAACTTTCTAGCCTCCAGAACTGTGAGAAACAAACTTCTATTTTTTACAAG